TGTCATATTGTGGGAGTGCGTCTGTGTGTGTTTACATTTGAAGATATTTGTGTTGTGGTATGCCTAGGAGTGTGCGTTGGCGTAGTGCATGTGTGCATGTTATTTTGTAAACATAAACACAAATACTGATGGTTCGAATTCGCAGAGAGAACCTCATCGGATGCAGTAAAAAAAAAAAAAAAAAAAAAAAAAAAAAAAAAAAAAAAAAAAAAATTGAAAACGTCATGCCACATATTCTCTTCCTACAGTGTCTGTATTTTATTTCATTCCTTTTTTTTGCAGGTTTATCTCTTCGGAAGCGCTTGCATGTATTTATAGCCTGTTTTCAATTAATCTCAAGCTGTCCACAAGACGCGTTTCTCAATGATTAATCATATTTCATTGCTCACGCGTTCCCTCGCTCCACATCGATCACTTAGTGTCCTCCGTTGCCTGTATCACTTCGTAATCGTTTAAAAAAATGCTCCGGTCCAAAGATAGAATGACATTCCTGAGAAAGCGAGAGAGATTGCAGGCTGGAAATTCACACACACACACACACACACACACACACAAAAAAAAAAAAAAAAAAAAAAAAAAAAAAAAAAAAAAAAAAAAAAAAAAAAAAAAAAAAAAAAAAACTATATATATATATATATATATATATATATATATATATATATATATATATATATATATATATATATATATATATATATATATATATATATATATATATATATATATATATATTGATGCCAGCGTGGGCTCTAGGAAGACACTTTGTTATTCATTAGTTGGTATCATTTCCTGTTATTCTTTCTCCTTATGTATCCGTTCGTTGACTTCTGTAACGTGAAATCGATGGAAAGGTTATGGATTTAACCTTTGCGGTTTAATTATGTTATGCAGGTGCTTGGTCGCTGTGGGCTTTGCCGTCGAAAGCAAGGTGAGACTGCAGATATTTGCTCATATATATGATAATCCTAGCATTGAGTTATAGAAGATATTTGCGCTGAAAGGATATGAAACATGATAGGGGTACAAATGAGCAAATCATATGGAATTATGAATATGATATGCATGTATATAACCGAAGAGAAATATTTACGAACACATAGACGTGAAGAAATTTTGTTTTCTAATCATGCTTACAGTACGTTTTACAAAAAAAAAAAAAAAAAAAAAAAAAAAAAAAAAAATCCCAAACCATATTTCTTTCCACACAAAAAAGAAAAAAAAAACTATATAATGTGTACGGTTTCAGGGACTTGCAGCCCTAAGACCATGACATAACGTATGTATAAACCCATTGAGTTAGCATATGGCTTTGAGTCTCACAGCTCTCATATGTGGGAGCACTGGGGGGGGAGTATTAAGAAGAGGGTAGAATTGGGAAGAGGAAAGAGGGGAGGGAATCTGAGTGAGGATGGAATAAAGTAGAAGAATGCCATAAACAGAAGGGTGGGGATTGGAAGAAGGGGAGGTGAGAGGACCTAAAGAAGATACTGACGAGGAGGAAGACGTGGGATAAAGAGAAGGACGAAGAACAGGAGGAACACATGAGGAAAGACTCGGGTTCATGGGAGATTCATGGCAGAGAAGAGTCCCAGGCGGGGGAGGGATTTCATGGGATTAGATGAATGGGGACGCCGCAGACTGCCACTCGGGTCCGGGAGACTGAAATGGTCGTATGGGCATCACGAAGACGCGTCGGTGCTGAAATGAAGCTGAAGGAATCTGAGTCAGGGAAACGAGTCATAGGCTGACTGTTCTTGTCTTGAGTTGGTGGCGTTTGCTGTGGAGGGAGAGATAGAGGGGGGGGGGGAGAAGGAAGAGGGACAGCGAGAGGAGGGAGATTAGAGATAAAGATTTGATAAAGAGAGAGAGATAGGGAGAGAGATGTGACGAGAGAGACAGCCAGAGAGGGAAATTAGAGATAAAGATTGATAAAGAGATAGAGAGGGGGGGGAGGGAAGAGAGACAGCCAGAGAGGGAAATTAGAGATAAAGAAAGATTGATAAAGAGATAGAGAGAGGGGGAGGGAAGAGAGACAGCCAGACAGACAGGGAAATAATTAGATAAAGAAAGATTGATAAAGAGAGAGATGGGGAGGGGGAGGTGAAGAGAGACAGCCAGAGAGAGGAAATTAGAGATGAAGAAGATTGATAAAGAGAGATAGAGAGGGGGGGGAAGAGAGACAGCCAGAGAAGGAAATTAGAGATAAAGAACGATTGATAAAGAGAGAGATAGGGAGGGAGAGTATGACGAGAGACAGTCAGCGAGAGAGAAAAGGGGAGATAGAGAAAGATAAAGAAAGAGAAAGAGAGGGAGGGAAGAAAGATAGACAGCCAGAGAGAGAAAAGTGAAGATAGAGAAAGAGAAAACAGAGAGAAGGAGGGAAGAGGGACGAAAGACAGAGAGAGAAAAGGGAAGAGACAGAAAGACAGAGAAATAGTGAGACAGGGAGGGAAGAAAGACCGGCCAAACAAACAAACAAAAAGAAATAAAGAAAGAAGGAGAAAGAAGGAGAGAAAGAAAAGAGAGAAGAAAGACGAGACAGAAAAAAATAGAGAAAGAAAGACAACGAAAAAAAAAAAAAAAAACGTAATGACAGCCTCGGTAGGAATCGATCCCGACCCAAATGGACTGGACCGAACGAGGAGGTGACCTTGTCTCCCTCGCGGAAAATAAATCGCCGACAAGTGATGCAAAAAGACCAGGTGTTGAGATAACTGATTTAATACGCAGCGATTTGTCGTCGAGGAGTATAAAGAAAACAAGACAAAAAGGAGCATAAAACTGGAACCGTGGAAGTGAAGATTTTCTAGAATGACAATTGCTGCAAATTTGTGTGCACGATATTTTATTCAGAGTGTGAGGGGGGGGCGATGGTGGGGGGAGGGGGGGGGGGGT